TCCTCCTCCTCCTCCTCCCCCTCCCCCTCCAAGGGCCCGCTTGGGGGCCTCTTGGGGCTCTCTTGGGGCCGCCTGAAGGCCCTCTTGGGCCGTTTTGGGGCCCTCTTGGGCTGTCTGGGGGCCCTCTTTGACCGTTTTCGGCCCGTTTGGGTTGCCTCCGGGGCCGTGTTGGGACGATATTTGGGGCCGTCTTGGGCCCGTCTGGGGCCCTCTTGAACCGTCTTCGGCCCCTTTGGGGCGCCTCTGGGGCCGTCTTGGGACGATATTTGGGGCCTCTGGGCCATCTGGGGCCCTTCTGGTACGGAAAAGGGGAGAACCCGACAAACATGCGAAAACTCTACGGAACAACCCGAAAAACGGGCAACTAGACTTCTGTTTCCCCGCTAGCCCCCTCCCCCAGACCTCCTCCCTAGAAGGGCTTCGCCCCCTGCGAAACGTCTTTCGCTCGTACCTCGCTCTCTCCGTCGTCCGCCGCTCCAAGTGGCTTGCCACAGGGGTGCACGGCGTGTAAAACTTGTTGGTGGCTTCTGGTTCGTTTGGACTCCCACTGGGGCTTCGGCCCACCCCGCTGGCCACCCTGGAAGCTTCTCAGACTACAGAGCCCGTTGCCCAAGTAGCCTCCAAGAGAGCCAAGATGGCAGTAAATGGCCCAAGATGGCCCCCAGTATGCCTCCAAAGCAGGCAAGATGGCCGCAAGAGAGCCGACGGCCCAAGACCGCCCACGAGGCCCGCAATATTGCCCCAGGACGGCGCAAGAGGCTCCCCAAAGAGGCCTCCAAGACGCCCAAGATGGCCTTCAAGACAACCCCGAAGAGCCCCAAGAGGGTCCCAAGACGACCCAGAGAGGCTCCCAAGACGGCTTCCGACGGCATCAGACGGGCCAGGAAAGCCGTAAGACGGCCAAGAGGCCCCCAAGAAGCCCCCAACGGCCCCCAGGGGGAACGCATGGTCAAACAGTGTGGCCAAACTTTGCAAAAACGTTGGGCCACATAGGCGTGTCCTAAAATGCGGGGGGCGTCGGCGATTCGCCGTGAGCGTCTTCGATAACATTGCGCAACAATTGCATCGACGGAAAACGGCTCCTTCTCAACACGGGACTCTCGCTTGAACGGAATGCTCGTGGGCTCGCCGTTCAAGGGGTGGTCCGAAGTAAGAGGCAGGGTTCGCAAGGACGTATTCGGATAGGCCTTGGGATGGGAAGGCGTGTTGCAGCATCGCTGATGCACACTGGGTTTAGTCTGGTTATCCCTCAATCTCCTCCTCTTCCTCCTGGTCCTCCGGAATTGCTCCATCTTTCTTTCCTACATGACTGGCCCTCTCTCTCTCTCCTCCTCGTCCTTCTCATTATCGTTATCCTCCTCGCCCTCTGCCTCCTTTCTGGCCCTTCCCTCCGTCCTGCTCCTCCATGTCCTTGTCCTTCTGTATTACGCCATCCGTCCTCTGTTCCCTCTCCCTCTCCCTCCCCCTTCTCTCATTCCCCCTCCTGCTCCTTATCCGCCCCCTCATGCGCCGTCTCTTCCTCCCCTCCCCCACCACTCCCTCCTCACCCGGCAGGACGGTCAAAGAACTGGCCCGCAAGCTGAACGCGCATCAAGCCGTTGGTGAGGATCGAACAAGTACAGATACCGCCACTCCCTGGCCCTCTCCTGGGGCGCTTTCTGACTAGGATTTTGATGCGAATTCAGCGGTGGCGACGAGGGCCTTCCAGAAGTCCCAACAAGGGGAACAGGAGGCAAGAGTAGTGGTATCGGTAACTTTTTCTCCTCTGAACTGGGGGCCCCTGCGCGAGCGGCGGCAGCATGCCGCGAGATGCTACGTGACCGCACACCGGGACCGAGCCTCGGCAGGCAGACCGGGCAACGCGAGTGCCTGAAGGAAGCTCTCGGCGAGGCGAGGCCGATGGGCACCCCTCGTGGGGCCCGCGGTGGCCCTCTCCCAGAACGGTGACGTCGTCGTCGTCATCGTCGTCGCCGCCTCCGGCTGCTGCGTGGGCACCCCCTCGGGGCCCGCGCTGGCCCGTTCCAAGACGGAAGACGCCCGAGAGCTTTTCCAAAGCATCGGGCCTAAGAGCTGTGGAGCGCAGGGCGGGAGGGGGCAGCCCGCCAGAACGCCAGATCCTCAGAGTTCCTTCCAGAAGTTCGTCTGGATGCTTTGGAAATTAATCAAGGATTTTCCAAGATTTGGGAAATCAAGGGCTGCTCTAGTCGGCAGTGCTTCGCCGAGAGATCACTCCGGGCGACGGGTCGTTCAAGACAAACCCCTTATGACCAAGAAGCCGTTGAGGATAGCCGACCTCTAGCGTCCAAAAACAATGACAATGCGCGGGGGTTCGAAATTCGCTCACTGGAAGCGGAAGCCCACCGTGTGATCAGATCAACTCGTCGTGAAGACTCCTGCGTATGGCATGTGGCCGAAGGTTCCAGGGCCCTGACGCCATAACTGTTCATGGCAGTGGTGCGCTGGAACCCCTGAGCTCCATCAATAGGATCCGCCTTCCGCCATAAATATCCTCTCGACCCCTGGAACGCAGAGGCGAAACCCTGCCGTTACCACTCGCAGGCGCCCAGTCGAGGTCTGACTGTACGCCGCTGGCCTCGTCCAGTGCCGCTCTCCCAACGCTCATCGTGGCCGACCGACGGCGATTCCCTGCCAGGCCTTAAATTAACCTCATTATCAGCGCCTTGCGCGGCCGGATCAGCATTATGGCGGTCCTCGAGGTGGACGCCATAACTAGCCACATGTTCATCATCAGCATCATCATCATCATCATCACCACCATCATCATCATCATCATCATCATCATCATCACCATCATCATTATCAGCATCATCATCACCAACAGCATCAGCAACAGCATCGTCATCACCAGAAACACGCATCATCATCAGCATCAACATCATCACATCATCATCATCAACAACAAGATCGTCATCAACATCAGCCATATCATCATCACAGCATCAACATGTGCATCATCGCCATCACCAACATCGATACCATCACCATCATCATCACCACCATCATCGGCATCCGCATCATCAACATCATCACCGTCATCATCATCATAATCATCAGCATCGTCATCATCAGCAGAATCAGCATCATCACCATCATCATCATACTCCTCATCATCAACAGCATCATAATCAGCAACAGCACCATCATCATCATCATCATCATTCCCATCATCACCATCACCATCAATATCATCAGCAGCATCCGCACCATTAGCATTACCATCATCATTACCACCTTATCCCACATCATCACCACAATTAGCATTCGTACCATCACCATCATCATCATTTACATCAACAGCGTCACGATCATCAACTCCATAGACAGAATCATCACCACTATCATCATGATCGTCATCAGCATCATCATCATCCACATCATCAACATCACCATCATCATCAACAGCATTGCCATCATAACCACCACCAGCATCATCACCATCATCATCGCAATCAGCATCAACATCATAATCATCACCACCACCATCATCATCAACATCCTCACCATCAAAAACATCATCACCAGCATCATCACCACCACCACCACCATCATCATCACCATCATCAGCATCATCGTCGTCAGCATCGTCACCACCATCACCACGAGCATCACCATCATCATCCACAGCATCAGCATCATCCACATCATCGACATCATCATCACCACCATCAGTGCGATCATCACCATCAGCACTCTGCTGCCCCGGTTAACTGGTACTAAACCACAACCATTGGGGATAATGAATAACGGAATCGCCCCAACAGACACTAACCACCATCTCGCCCACGCCTCGACCGCGCCGACACAGAGGTATCCCAGGGGCGGTGTGTTGCGCCAATACGGGGGAGTATCCCACCATGCGGGGTAGCCAAGTCACAGGAAAGATGTGAGATTCCTGTCATGCAGTGTCAAGGAAAATCAGTACAAGGGAAAAACAGTGTTGCTCAGGACGGGTTGCCCGAGCCCCCGGTTAACTGGTACTAAACCACAACCAAAGGGAATAGAAGACGGACATCCGCCCTATCGGGTTCACCACAACGACTCTCAATAATAATAAGAAGAAAAATAACAAGAAGAAAAATAACAAACAAATGCGCCGAATAATACGGGGAGAAAGAAGAAGCAGGACACGCACCAAAAGAAGCACGCAATGAGGCCGACGAAGGAGAGCGCGAATTCGACCACCAACTGCGTGAGATTGACAGCAAACTGCGCGAAATCGACCACGCACTATATGAAATTGACCATGTGCTGCGTGAAATCGACCGCGCACAGCTCGAAGTTGACCGCAATCTGCCTGGGATCGACAACAAACTGCACGAACTTGCCATCAAGCTGCGTGAAATCGACCACAAACTTCATGACGTTGACCCTAAACTAAGTGACGTCGCCAACAAACTACACGAAATTGACAGCAAACTGCGTGAAATCGACCACACACTATGCGAAATTGACCGCGAACTGCTTGAAATCGTCTACACACTGCGCGAAATTGTCCGGAAACTGCCTGAAATCGACCACACACTTCGTGAAATAAACAACGTGCTGCATGAAATCAACCACAAACTGCGCGAAATTGGCAAGAAGCGAGGCGACATCGACCACAAACTATGCGAAATCGACCGCAAACTGCATGGAACCGGCCACCATCTGCGTCAAATTGATCACGTGCTGCGCGGAATCGACCACAAACTGCATGACATTGACAGCATGCTGTGTAAAATCGACCATATACTAGGTGAAACTGACCGCAAACTGCTTGAAATCGACCACACACTGCGCGAAATTGGCTGCGGACTGTTTGAAATATGTGAGACTCCTGTCATGCAGTCAAGGAAGATCAGCAAAAGATAGATCAGTACAAAGTAAAAACAATGCTGGTCGGGTCGGGTTGCCCGAACTCACCTCTGGCGGCGTTTGGGTTTAGCCTGCGCCATCCCGCGATGGGTCTCGTCATGGCATTTATGGCAGCGCCCGCCTGTTTAGCAGCCACCGTTCGAGAAGTAGCGGGAGCAGACCAAGTCGCGGGGGCAGGCAGGCATGCCGGTGTCGGGCAGGGCGGTGGACGAACCAGCCTCGGAAGGCTTCGCAGCGGAAGGCTGAGAAGCTGGGCCGGCAGTTGGGCCTCCTGAGCTAGAAGCGGCTGCGCCTGCAATTGGGCTTGCGTCCAGGGAGTCCAAGGCCTCTGCCTCGTCCAGGGACTCCTCCTCTTCCTCCTCCTCGGCCCTGCCGTACCAGCGATCAATATCGGCCATGACCGATTCCGCCTCGAGGATGGCGCGCTCGCGCTCCGCGGCCAAATCCACCTGGGGCCACGGCTGGAGATGTGTCCAGTGCTCCGGCCTGTGCACGTAGGAGCTCACCCATGTCGAAAGCAGCAAAAGTCTCGGGCGTGGGGCCAAAGTCGAACCAGACGACGTTGACGGGATCCAAGGCGATGGCCTCGGGCTCGTAGTCATCGGCATCGGGGTGGGTACGTGAATCATCGCGACGGACCTCGACCGCGACCCCGCCGTTAGGCGCGTGGCCGGCGACCCACCCAAGCCGCCCATTGAGGGTCCGGCCTCTCTGGCTCGTGAGCCCGACTATTTCCACGAACTCGCCAATCAACCCTCCGCATGCTAGGCGAGCCCTCCCGTTCATATCACCACCGATCAGGCCGTCGTCGCCGACAAAATGCGAGAAAAACCGACAAACTGCATCCAGCACAATGCCATTCCCCATCAATGCATGAATGAAGTGATTGCGCTGAGAATGCGTGAGGCGTGTAACACAAAAGAAAATCCAATCCCCGAGGTGGCGTAAAGCCGCGGTGAGAGATGCAGTGCAGGCGATCGCTAACATGGCGGTGCACGTCGAAGCGTACTCAGCAGCAAGTGCGGCGAGAGCCCGCCTCACAACCAGCACGTCCGTCACCTTGCAAAGCTCTCGCGGACGTACTCGGTCAGCTGCGCGATGGCGACCCCCACAGCGAGCTGGTGGTTCGCAAGAACGCATCAGCATCAGCATCAGCAACATGACCATCATTATCAAGCATCAGCATCGTCAGCGTCATCATTACAGTCATCATCACCATCAGGATCATCATCGTCACCACCATCATCATCATCATCAGCATCATCCTCAGCGCCATCACCACCACCAGCTTCGGCTTTGCTGGACTCGCGAGCAATAGGCCAGCATAGCATGTGAGGGATGCTCAGACTCTTCTGAGCTCTGAAAACAATTCACGATCGCTCTCTCTAGCAGAGAACCCCACACGGCTGCTTCAAAAGCTCAGGGAGGGAAATCGCACAGACACTCCACAACCTAAAAGCTAAATCACCAGTGCAACAGGGGGGGGGGGGGCAGAAAAAACTGCGGAGGGGAGATCGCAACCACTCCCATTAAGTGACACTCACTACCCTCATTCTCCAATAATGTGTCTCGATCGTGCCAAGCTGATCCGGTAAGTTCTGACAGCCCGCCCACCCACCCATTTCTGGACATGTATAGGGCGTAGCCCAGAGATAAACAGGCAGACTCAGATGGACAGGACGATGGCGTGGCACAGCGTGTTTACAGCAGGATGAATGTACAACACATCGAACAGGTTTGCTTCGGCTTTGCTGGGCTCGCGAGCAATAGGCCGGCATAGCATGTGAGGGACGCTCAGACTCTTCTGAGCTCTGAAAACAATTCACGATCGCTCTCGCTTGCAGAGAACCCCACACGGCTGTGATGGTGAACGAAGACACTCCCAATGCCGAAACCCACTTGTGATCTGACTTCGATCTGGAATTGAACTCAATGGGAATCAGACAACCAGGATATGTGTGCCACCATCACAGCCCGCTCCCGCCAGCCAAGCGTGCGAACTCTACTGAGGACATCACGTGCATCCACAGGCGAAACCAGAAGGGTGGGAAGACGTCGACAGGCACGTCGGGGGCGTGGAAGGGGCTCGCGCAGCCAGCCGACGTCGATGGCAGCTTCTGTGCAGGAACTCACTCTGTTCGAGATGCGCTCCAGCTGCGCGCTCACGTCAGACCCAATCCATTCCCACAACGGATTGGCCCACACTGGCGTGTACACAAGAGCCGTCCACATGAATCGAAGCCCTACATAGCACTGTGAAAGAACTGTCGCCTCAAATTCGAAAACCTCGAAACGATTCAACGCCACAAACTCCTGCTCAGACTTGGAGATGGAGGGCAGTGCTGGGCCGATCTGATCCAGAACCTTCTGGATCTCGGAGGCTCTCGAAGTCCGCAACTGCCTCAGCGCATCTGCCAGTGCGGAATCCTGATCCGTGTTGTGGCACCCCAAAAGCAAGATGTAGCGCCCTCCTGTCGCGTTGGCCGTGGCATTGAGCAGGTCGACGCCCTCCCACGTCTCCTCGAAGGCTGACAGGGAGCCGCGGCCCACCGCCACTGCCACATCCGTCACCAACACCGTGACGTTGGAGGCCGCGCGCGTCAGCACCCCACCGGCGTCGGCCAGATCCTCGGACAGGCTGATCACCGCCCCGACGCCCTTTGCCAGCGTGGGCGAGAAGCTGGGGGGGCTGATCCACAGCGCCAGCAGCAGCACGGCGCCCGGGGACAGCCACCAAGCGCGGCCCACGCGGCCCAGGCTGCCTAGCAGCCTCCACGCCGGCGACGCACGCTGCCGCCGCGGCCCAGGAGGCCCTGGGGCTGAAGGCGGCGGCATCGGCGTCGCGGGCGCCGTGAACGGGCTCGTTCCTGGCGCCTGCCCGCTACCGACTGGCGGCGCCGCCACGGTAGCGAAGGGCGTGCCCACCAGCGTCCAGGATGGCGGCGGCGCCAGGCCTGCAGGCAGCGTCGACGCGGGGGAAGTTGACTTGGGGGCAGCGAGGCCGTCCTCGAACTGCGGGCCGAGACTGGCGCAGGGCTCAGCGGCGCGGCAGGCGGCGTGTAGACCCCTCCCACGAACGCGCTGCCCACCCTCGGCGCCATCAGCAGTAGGGGTGGCCCAGCAGCTCGTGACGCACGTACCGTCGCCAGCCGTCCGCTGCCCAGCGCAGCCGCTTCTCGTGGCCCGCGGTGAGCAGGTCGGTGAGCACGGCGTTAGCCGACAGCACGTCCAGGTAGATCCTGAGACTGGAGTCGCTCACCCAGCGGCCGCCCTCGCGGATCTCAGCGAACGGGGCGCCCTCGGCGCGGGAATCGGTAGCCCAGCCAGCGCGAGGGCTGTGCGGGCCCCAGCCCACTGACAGCCCCAGCGCCGCTTCGGCGGACATGAGCAGCGTCCGATATTGCGAGATACTGCATGGAAAAAGAAGCTGGTCAGGTGGGGTCTGCTGCACACAACTCCAGAGGGCTTCAGAATGTCTGAGTGACGCCCGGGGAGCACGGTCACCTGGGGCCGCTGCGCTTTCGCACCGAAACGTACTCCCAAGGCCAGGACCACTGGATCTGACTTGCCATTGACCGCCCGATGATGAGGGAAGGATACGTGTTCAGGACGCAGGCCGAGCATCTCCGAAGGCCTACGTCCCGCATGACACTGCAGCACCAAGCCTAAGCCCAGCCTCACGTGCCCAGCGGCTGCCAAATGAATACTCAGTAGCTTTCCAGGCGCCTTGCCAAGCGGGACAGTGTGCTTGATGACTCGCGATCTCTCCCAGCCGCGCAAGACAGCGTGCGCCCACTTCAGCTCGCCCTTCACGCGCGGGAAAAACAGTTCAACGGCCGCCAGCAGGTTGCAAAACTTAGACGGCGTAAGCAAGGACTCGCATGCATTCTTGTACTCCACCAGCGCGTCGTCCCACTCGTCAGGGCCGACTGGGTTAAGGTGGTTGGCGAGCGCCCAGGATGTGAAGCCCCAAGCCTCTCGCCTGCACGTCTCGATGGTATGCGGCTTCACCCGCGCCGCTTGGTGGTGGTCCAGGCGCCTGGGCCCACGCCACCTCATTTACGCCGTGACGGCCAATGTGCTGCCTGGTGCCGCTCTCTCCCAGGCTGCACTTGCCGCTCCGGCCGTACTTCTCGTTGAGCAGGACAAACTTTCCTCCTAGCGGACCCTCAGCTTCTCGACTCCACTGGCTCGTGCGAGGACATGCTGTCGCAGGACGTCCCCGCCCCCCGGGCCTCTCGACTCCAATCTCATACTGACCAAAGTTCGAGTAATACACCATCCAAAGAACCGACAGAGACCTGAAGGATAACTTTGAAGACGACGGGAAGCGAAAACTCCGAGGGCATTCTTACCTCGCACGTTATCGTGAGTATGGACCCCATCACAGCGAAGTAAGCCCTCAGATAGCCCAAGGGGGTTGGAGAGGAGACCTGCAGGTTTTGGGCCACCCCTCCATACATGCACTGGTCAAGAGTTACTACTTCACACTGAGCTCGAGACGCTAAACCCTTCACCCCATTCGAGGACAAAGACCGAAGGAAAAGGGAACTCGCCAGGGTCCGCAGGGTGCTCTAACAAAGAAGCCCCTCCCTGAGACAGCACAGCCTCGCACAAGCCTAGGAAGTTGAAAAGTAGAGCGTTGGCCTCCAGGACTCGAGTCCTTTCGAAAGTCCTCAGCGACGGCAGCCCCAGCAGGTGATCGCGTCGCCGCAGCGGCGGCGGGCCGCCTGGCCGATGCCGCAGGCGGCTCCAGGTGGCGCAGGGCGGGCCGCCCAGCACCACGTCCAGCAGCCAGCCCAGCGGTGGCCAGCTCGAGGAGCGCCGCGACGGTGTGCGGGTCCGCGAAGTCCCAGCGCGCGTCGAAGGCCAGGTGAACCCCGAAGAAGAAGAGCGGCATTCCGTGCTGCGCGCAGAAGGTCTCGGTGTGGTGCTGCACGTCGCCCTGGCGGCGCCCTCCTGCAAGGACATGCATGACTACCATCGCACGCTGGGGGGACCTCTTGAAGTACCGCACCTTCTCACAGAACTCCTCGACGCTGAGGCCCGACTCGAGTCGGTCCGCGCTCCGTCGATTGCGCTGAAGGTCGACCCATTCCTGGTCGTGGATCTCAGCCTCCTCATTCACTTCGCAGGTGCTCATGACCTGCTGCAGCGCGTCCTCAGTCAGCTTCCTGCTGATGTTCAGGGCCTCGCCCATGCCCTGCGCGTTGATCGCCATCAGGATGTGGACCGAATGCGAGCTCCCCATCGGCAGCCTCTGGTAGCACGGGAACACCATCTCGTAGTCCGGGAGGTGCTGCAGCTCCGGTGGTAACTGGCTCCGCGCCATAGCCGCAGGCAGGGCAGGCGTGGCCATCCACGGCCACCGCCGCGCCGGGGTCACCACCGACGAGAGGGCATTCGACTCGTAACATCTGGCAACGTGAAGATCACCATCGAGTGCTCGAAGCTGAGCTAACGCGCCCCCGCCTCCAAGACGATGGTCCTCGCGAGCTCGAACGTCGCACCAAACGTAGTTCGCGGGCACTGCCATGATCAGCTTGCGGAGATTCTCGGGATCTTTCTTGGGGGCCGCGCTCACGCCATTGATGGCCTTGATGTCGGCCTGGCGCATGTAGGTCCATGGCCGCGGAGGGAGGTCGGGGCGGCAAAGGTACTTGGCCCACTCCTCCTGCGAGCCGCCCAGGAAGCA